ACATCTAGGCTGCATTAAAACAAAATTGGAAAGTAGAGAAGAATGAATGCCACCCCTGGTTTAAGATGATGGCATATGGCAACTCGTAGACATCACGTTGCACTCTGCTGTCTGTGGCTGGTCCCCCTTTCTACCAGCCTTCAATGTCAGGAAAAGGTGAGTGATTCAATTTCCAAGCAGTTCAAAGCAGGATGGAGTTTGTCATCTTTTGTGGCAAAGCCATAATGGAGAAGCTTGGGAGGAATCTGAAGTAGGCTTGATGCTGCACAGTTACATAAAAGTAAAACACAAAAATAAGAAATGTGAAAGCTCAATTTAAAGCTATATCTGTATCATACTGATGCTTTAGATAGCTCCAGAGAATACCCTCCTTCTCCAGGAAGCCCTCCCTGCCCCAACATTTGGTGTTTTCTCCTTGTTCTCAGCCAGTCTCTGTAGGTTAGGACTACATAAACATACATCAGCATGGACCATCAGAATATGAATGATATTTACACTGACTGTAAAATGAAATCTCTCACAGCTTTCTCCGGCCACACCAGGATTCCAGGCTCTCCAGTTTATGCGCTGGTTGAGGCAAAAATTACAGCAGTAGATGCAAACATGATAACTGCGTGTGTTAGAACAGAAGCTACGCAGTCTCCAAAGTAAATCTCCATTATAATATAACTTTTCCCTCAGACTTCTGATCACTTTATCCTCCCCAATATTTAATCCTTCCCACTTTGCCCTGTCAATGGTACATATTTGCTGTCTAATCTGAGGCGCTCTTTAGAAGTGCTCCAATTTTTTGTATTGTTTTCAATTTTACTTGGTTCCCAAAAAAAAAAAAAGTTTTAATTTGGCAAAGTGAACATATGTGGGAGAGCTGAAGCAACTGCTTTGGAAAATGCTGTCTGATATTTGGATCACAGAGATGAAATTCCGGTATAGAAGTGTGCTGAAGACACAAGGGAGGGAAACAGGTTGAGTCACGTCAAGGTCTTCTTCGGAGGTTACCATGGGGAATATGTGTGATCCAGGTAGTTCTACAGATAAAAAGCTGGGAGTCATATTGCTTGGCTGCTGCCCTCAGATAATGTCTAAACTACATTGTTATTTTGAATGGCCTATGTTAAGGGAGATATTCATGCACCTTCACACACCTGCCAAAGAAAACTTCCCCATGTATTCACAAAACAAGAAATACAATGGAGCTACTCTGAAAACACAGTCCATTTGACTCAGAGGAGGCATGGAATAATAGAAGGTGGGTTTATTTTGCAAGGTGCATTTTGTGGTGGAGGTGAGGGAGCACCAGTGGCAGTGCTGCACAGCCTGGAAGGAAGAGCAGGGATCAGAATGTCCATGTTCCCTAAGAGGTGCCTGATGCGACTGTACCTGCGGTCAGGATGTTCACAGCACCTGCCAGGATCAGCTCATCTTCCAGCCAAACACACATCACAGAGAAGGATCCCTCCAAATGTCAGTGGCAATTAAAGCCATCTGCAGAGAAAAGGAAGATGCAGCACTTTAAGCAACTGAAACGGTCGACTAAAAGCACCTGGCATTTTTAACTCTACTAGCCTGACACAGAAAGTCTGGTCTTGGCTATGAGGGTTGGGGAAGCTCAGTAAAAACATCTGTGGGAGCAGCCTCTGCAGCAAAAAGCAGGTTTGCATGGTCTTTTTCCCCTCTATGTAAGTTTGGGGGCGGAGAATCCACAAGTAGGATGCTGCTTCATTCTCTGTGGGTGGGAAGCCACAATTCAGGGCCCCCACCTCCAGCACTCAAATGTAAGTAACAGATCTGTGACCAGATAAAAATAGAAGCGCACTAAAAAGTTGGCAGGAGTGTCTCCTGAGTCGCAGTGAATGTCTCAGGATTGCAGTTCTGGCTTTTAACCAAAATTAGTTTAATTTTCCTGAAGGGCTGCCTTTATTTACACTATTTGAAATGGATGTAGATTTTGGAACTGAAGCACATCTAAATGTTAAACATAATTATCTCCAAGTCTCCGTTTTCAAAAAGTTGTTAAGGGTGAAACACAACTTCATAGGGAAGCAAGTCAAAGCTATGGGAAATATTTTAATGATATTGACTGAGGAAAAAAAAGCTTTCTTTGAAGAGAATTAAAGGAACTTCTCTGTTAAATGACTGGAGGTGCAAATTTACCTCATTATCAGTGCTGTAGGAAATTACCTGAAATGCCAAAGTTTTCTGATATTTATTGCAGAATTTTAGGTTATTTTCATTCCAAGGCATATTTTCAAATCAAGTAAGAATCTTGGGAGTTTGCTGCCTCTGGGGTCAGAAGCCCTCTGGAGATATGATGCACTCTTTGCAAACCCTACAAGAACTGCCCTTGTAGCATCTGTTAAACTCAAAAGTTACACCCAAAAGCTTTAGATCCCTACAGCAATGTTTAGGGTACTATAGGAAGATAACTGTATAAGTGAGATCCAAAACACTCCCTAGTTAACAACTGCTTGAACTCACTAGACTGTTTTCCTGTCTTCCCTCTCTGACCAGAGGCACCTCAGGGCTTTTCCAGTTATTTCCTAGCTCCTGCTTTAACCCTACTGGGACCAGATCCTAGGAAAGGCACTGCATGTACCTCCTCTGAGGTCCAACTCACAAGATGTGGCAGCAGCAACATCCAGTTTTTACATGTTAACAAGATGGTTCCCAGGATTATTTCTGATTTTTTTTTTTTTAATCCAATGGTTACTTGATATATAACACTGTATATACAGTGTTAGGAACAAACACCCCCTTCCCTTGTGCTTTATTTGGAGATTCTCACTCTTATGACTGTTCTTCCTCTGAAAAATGAAACATTCTTTCTTTACTTGCAGACTTGCTCAGTTTCTTAGAACTAAGCGGATGACAACTTTATCACAATGAGAATTGTTTAAAGGGAAGTATTTCCTTTAAAATGATGAAGAGTTTCTTCCTGATAAAAAGGTACTCCCAGAAAGAACCCCAGCTTGTCTGGATCACAGAGCAGTGGCACTGCAGTAATGTGCTACTGAGTCTGTAGGACTTTGTGTGATTTGAGAGTACTTAAAGGCAAGGTATAAAGCTTCTGTCAGATGTTAGGAAATCTTCTGGCAATGTAGTACAGCATCTTTAGTCAAGTCTTACCATGAATCTTCCAGGCAAGGAGGGGTCATAATACCTTGTCAGTTATCCATCCAGAAGTTCCTTCCCATAGCAATGGAGCCCTAGGACAACCTTTCTGAACCTCTTCTAGAGAAACAGATCCTGAAGGAGTCAGAGAGTGGAGAAGGAGAAAAAGGACCTAAAAATCCTTTGTGAGACGTTTTCCTGCAGGGGCATACCCTGATGTGAGCTTAATGAGTTCATATGGCAGACTGTCTCACGGTTTATTGTGAGCTGTGTTTGTTTGCTCTGCAAAGACACATGCTGACAACTGAAATAACAGTCTCACTCAGAAAGTGTGCCAAGGTCCCTGGATGGCCCTTGTTACCTGCTTACCCTGCAAAGAGCAAGGTTCTGAGGGGGTCCTGCATGGAGGCTTTTATGTGACAGCAGGAGGAGGTGCTTTCCTCTTTGTTTATGGTTGTATGAAGCAGGAAAAGCCAGAATGGTTTCAAGGTAGACCACCCACAGGGGTGGTGGGTTCCACTCTGCATTGTGGTGATCTGGGGGGCAGCTCTGCATCATCTCTGCAAGCGTATTTTGTCCTACTACATGCACAAAAACATGGTCCCACGCTCCACAAGGCTGACCCTAACAACCGCGGTGCAGTTGACAGAGTTAAGGTTTAAAAATAAATGATGCTTCCACAGGAAAATTCTCATGGGGCAGAGAAAGGAATATAATTCTTCTGATCTCTTGTGATTTTTGGTAAATTCTTCAAATCTATTGTCCATACAAGAAGTCTGAAAGAAATATGGGAGGAAAATAATATCCCATATTCTTTTTTTTTTCCAGGAAAATATGGAATATCTGAAAACTGAAGTTCACTCTAAGAGAACAAAAGAAATTACAAACCTAAAATGCTTTGGGGTCTTTGTGTGTGCCTGTATGTTTCTGCTTGCTTTTAAGTAGAAACTCTGATAAGAAAAACAACAAATCCCTCTCCCCCAAAAACAAACAAACAAAACAACATACACAAAAACAAACATACCCCAAAAACCAACCAAATAAACTAAAACGAACAAACACCCTACATTTTTTAATTAGCCTATCTGACTGACATTCTAAAACTGACTTTTCTCATGGGAAAGGAAAACAGGGACCTTCTTGCTTTAGTTAGATATTTTCTCCTCAAATTAAAAAAGCAGCTGTATCAAGGACAGCTTTAGGATGTGGAAACAAATACAACTCCCAGGGCAAAAATACCTAGATAGGAGTTCAGAAGTCAAGCAGCATATGTTACTGACTACACTCTCCCATCGCATAGTCAATTTATTTTCTAAAGAAAGTACACCACTGGCACTCATATAATCCACTACCTTTTACAGCTGTAAGGGATTAAGGTATTTGGCTGAGGATCACAAATTGTAATCATTATTCAGATTCACTGCTAGAAGTTGTGTTAATTGCAGTTAAAAAGTCCGATTACTGGCAAACAAAAATAGAGTAGAAGAGAGAGGCACTAGCAGATTTTAGGTCTGACTTTGCAAAGGTGTGGGAATATCCTGTGGTACACCTTTTGAATGTTAATGTTCTACTGAGAAGATTTCAAAAAGGTTGTGAGGTAGCTGCTGTACTCAGCCAAGGAGAATCTACTGCAGAGGTGCTGAGGCAGAGCTGAAATTATAGCCTTGCTTTTACTTCTTACACACAAATAGAATTTCCAATCAAGTTTGTGGGCAGGGTTTTTTGTGTAAAATTCTAAGCCTTAAAATACAGATTTTGAACCTGTGTGTTCACCATTTTCTTCAGCAGTCCCTAATCCTTTATGTTCATAAGAAGAATGGAAACTAAAGATACCTGTAACTACCTGTAACTGCTGCAGTGGGAAATGGGCCAAGTTCCCTCTCGACTAGATGAAGGTATTTGCTTCACAGAAAGTGTTTAATTTTCTTCATGTATTTAATAAAGCTATAACCTTTATATTGCATATGCCTGGCTGTCTATTATGTCCTACATAGCAAGAATACCGACATTAGGATTAAAAGTAACAATAACTGAATTAACATATACTGATTATATTGTTCTGTATTCCCTGTTGATTTTATGGAATGTATATTGTAGTTCATTTTTTACTGATGCCAGAAAGGGTAGCATAAAATCCATTCCTTGTAATTTTGAGCTCAAAATATTGTTTTGGAAAGGATTTATAACTGGTAAGATAACAAGTTTTCAAGTTGCTGATTCATCAGCCTATAAGGATATTAGCCATGTTACTGGCTTTAAAAGCTTTAGTGTTTTTGGTTATCTTATTACTACTATGCATTTAAGATATTTGCTGTGCATTAGTAAAACTGAGGTCCATGGTATTGGGGAGAGTCTACCAAAAAAATAGAACAGCTCCCTTTCTAGCATTGTTTTATTGTTAAAATTAACTCCATCCTTAACTTGCTTGAACAATGCCAACAACAGAACGGCACAGAAAGCTGTGTCTGCAGGAGAGGGGCAATGTCTGCTTTATTGATTTTATAAGAAGAAAAGGATGAAACATAGGTGAGAAGGGCACCATTAGTATATCCATGTAGACTGTGCAGCAGCCAACAGTCCAGGATATAGTATGGAGGAATATAATGTACAGTTGGGCACAAGAGAAGGGCACCTGTAATTTAATTTGTTAGCCTGGTACTTTCTGTAATCAAGTTTTGTTTATTTAAGGTAGGCTTAAATTGTCAATCACAGCAACTGAGATGTGACTGAATGGAAACATCTTTGCTCAAATAGTTTGTGTACAGATGTTTGAGCCTGAAGAAACTTGCCGTGTGTTTTTGTAGCTAAGGAAGTGAGTAATCAGTGAAACTAGTATGGGTGGTATAGGAAAATCATGCACATGGTCTTGGCACAGCTGTGTGCTTGCTGGATTCCATGAGATATTTCATAATGGAAAACCAATTTCTCCACTAATATAGGATACCTGCATTATCAGGCATATGTTGTGAAGCACCCAGTGAAGTCACAGGATCATACAGATTAGGCCAGTAAATTGAGTCAACAAGAAGGGCAAAAGAAAGTCCTTGGGTGTAGACTTAAAAAAGAGAGAATCTCTTGGTTAGCGTGTTTACATGATTTGATGCATTCTTTGCTTCATTTTAATTTTTATTAATCAAATTTTAAAAGGCCAAAAATGTAAGTGAGCAAGATGGTGAGTAAGTCAGCAGAATTGTATAGCTTGCTGTAGTAGCAGGAAATTTGGCCATGTGTCTATTTAGGAAGATTGTAGGCCCCTGTGCATCCAATGGCTTTCTGCTGGTCTACTTTGAACTTTCTGGTTTCAGAGGCTTTTCTATTTGTTGTTAGTGAATTTACACAGGTCACTGTGCAGTGTAAAGATCTGTCAAAAAATAGTAATAAATAGTTGCTGCCACTCTATGTGGTGCTTGTTGTTTAACATTAACATTGTTAATGTTTTTGATTAAAATTTTTGTTTTGAATCTATGTACACATTTATTGTATATGTCACAGTTCAGTCTCAGTGATTTCCTGAGTTAGCAGTTCCTCACCAGTGTTAATCTGTGTGTACTCCTGATTATATGGGAGCAATCTGATGGTCAGCTCCAGAGCTGCTGTGTCTCAGAGTATTTGTGCTTTGTTGCAGCAACGTGGGTGGGATGATGCACCAGTATAAGTAGGTATTATCCCCCTCAGATGTTTAGTCTGATGCCAAGAAGAAAATTACTAACTTGCATTTGCTGAGTCATTACCTACATGTATCTTTTTAAAACCGAGTTTCTTCAAAACTGGAAAGGTACTGTGTACTGAATCCTTTGCCTATTCTAAGTGTCACCATTTAAAACTAACATATCAAAAGCTGATCTTTCCTGGCAGTCACAGTTTTTCCATGTGCATTTTTCTCCTATGCTTTCTAACTGTGTTCAGATAATGCCCAGAAAAAGGTCAGGAAAACCTTTCCTAGAACACTGATCTGTTAAAGCAGGCACAGTTATTGTTGTGTGTGACTGCAGCTTTAGGAAAGACTGTTAGCTGTGTATAAATATGTGCATAGCTGAGGGAATATGCTTAAATAACATTAAAGACTATGACATTATGTGTGTGCTGAAAAGCTTTCTGCAGGCAGAATAGCACAGGTCACTACTTTTGGCTTTCACTGTAACATCACTGCCACAATTGGAACACTGCCTCACTTTATCTGTTTCTTCTTTTTTTTTTAGTAACAACATTATTTATCACCAGATATGTTTTCTTCACCATCTTCCACCCCATCCAAAAAAAAAAAAAAAAAAAGCTCTATGAAAACAGTTAAACAGTTATTTCTAAAGTTTTAGCTCTTTCTATTAGTCAGGCCTCTGCATTTATCAGCTGGTGGCTGAGACACTCTTTTCAGAGAGTGGAAGATTTTTGATCTTTCTATTCTTTCCAGCATAAATTAAATCAGGCAATAGTAGCCATGCAGTCACAATATTTTTGTTGCTTTAATGCTTTCTCTATTTTGTTTAAGGTACAGTTTTTAGAACAATCTTGGCAATATTCTGATATGACTGTGCCTTCTTAATCCACTTATACATATTATCTGCTTTTACTGAGGCATGCCAATAAAAACCCAGACCAGTGACAGAGTAGTCATAATCCTGTGAAAGTTTCACCTGTGTATGCTGTTTGCTGCATTGTGTTCTATTCATTTTCCTTCCTCTTGCCATTAGCAAAACATTCAGCTGAAACAGGGCTGTCCTTCGACCAATTTTGAAGCGCTTCTTTATCTGGGGACACTTTACAGGTAATTTCATAGGTGCCAATGACCATGCCTAAGCTGTAGCATCCCAGCAGTAACTCCTTCCTACTGCAAGGAAAATCCAGTGTGTAAGGGAGGAGGAAGCAGTGGTAGGCAGACACCCAGACAGACAGTCAAGGAGCAGACATGCCAGGCGGCCGGTAGCACAGCATATGCTCTGCTGTCTAGAAACAGCCAAGTTAAATCCCAAATCCTGGCAATTCTCTTGATGTGGCAGAGCTAGTGACATAAAAATATTTTCTTGCTAACTGCGTTTGTAAGCCTGATTCTGATTTTAAGTAAGTAGAGGAAACATTTGACCTTGAACTGAATTGCTACTTGATTCTCTCCAGACTGCCTTCCTAAATCTTCTCTCGTTTCAAACACAAATTATTTATGCCTTTCCTTACAGGCATTGAATGGTCGCTGCCTTCCATCATGGGGACACATAGATTTTGCTGGCCTGCAGCAGATCTTGGTCTATCCCACATCAAAATGTTTTTGGTCGTTGTGTACAGAGCCATAGCTACACTTGTTTTTCAAACCCCTCTCCCCCAGCTAAGCTCATCTGCAGCTCATCTGTCCTGCAGAAAGGCATGCAATTTGCCACTTCTGTGTGCCACTCACTTCAGCAGTGTGATTAAATCCCTTATTCCCCCCCTTAAAAAAAAAATGTTCTATCCCAGTCCAAATGACTGGAAGGTAGGGAGAGCTTACTGCCAGCTCAGAGTCTAGGGACATGTATCAGTGTCTGAGTTCTGCACTGCCAACAGAGTGGGCCAGGATGTCTATAACAGGTCTCTCATAAACAACACAGAACAAGCAGACCTGCTCTTAAGTTCTTTTCCATCTCATTTTTCTCCATTAGGAGAAAGTTGTCCTGAAGTAAATAAACAAAAGGGCTGTTTACAGTGAACATTGCTTCCCCCTTGCCCTATAGAGAGCAAAGTGCATCCAAATGGCTTCTGCTCTAACCTCAGTAAACTGATGATTAAAAGAGTCAACTGTGGGAGGACTATTCGTTTCAGCTTCCCTAAATGATTGACGGAGACATACTCACTGCCTCTTTGCTGCACTCTGAGAACAGACACCAAATTCTATCATGATCCTGGAACAGAAAACAACATTTGCCGTTGTGATTTTGCTATTTATTTTCTTGGGAATCCTGATTTTTGCTACTTTTGAATTCTCCTTGACCCCTACCAGAGTATGCCAGCCTCAGCCCAGGCTGATGGACTTGATGGTCTGGAGACAGGACAGTTTGACTGTGTTCTTGCTTAGAGACTGAGAATTATGGACACTTATTTAGCACTCTGATAAAGAAATACCCCAGAATGTCTCATTTTTGGTTTCTGGTTTGCATTTTTTCAAAAATTGTAGGAGTTGCAATATACAAATCTGGACACAATAAATTTGATTTTAATTAAATACCAAAGAAAATTAAATTATTGAAAGTAGATTAATGAATCTCCTCACTGTGAAAAAACCTAAGGTTTGCAAGAGCAGAACTTTTCTTCAGAAAGCATTGAAACAATATGTGGTGTGTGTGATCTCTTGTAAAAAGCTAAGAGATACTAGAGCACATCATCTCTTGCACAGGCTTTTTATCATTAACAAGAGTCTGTAGGGGAAAGTATAAATTGGCTTTTCAAGCTCCCCAAGGCTCTTACTTTGTATCCTGCACTCTGAAGACAAGTGAGGAAGTGTCCCATTCCATAAGACCAAAAGAGCTAGGAAACTTCAGAAGAAAAAAAAATTCATCCACATTTTCCCAGGTATTCAGTGAGATAATCTTTCTTAGCATTAAGCAGTGATTAAACTGCTTAATATTAACACATCAGTGACTGTAATCTTTTTTGGGAATAAGATATGTAATTAGTTTTCCCATTCCATGTCTTTTTCTGAAAAAACTGATTTCTACTAAGGTTTTTGCTTTGTTCCTACAGCACCGTATGCAAATGATCTCAATCTTGCATGTATTTCAAACCCTGTGTTTCCACCATTCACTCAATCTGTTTACTTGGTGGGTCAAATTGTCACCCTAATGAGGTGACTGAAACATTGGTGCCAAGAAATAACCACCACCCTCTTTATCCATAAATGTCTTTAAATGGATTTGTACAGCAAAGACCCATTCCTGGACTTCGGTGTAAACAAACAAACAAACATTAATTGATCAGGAAAAGAAAGATTTACAAGACTGCCTAAAATTTAGTGGAACTACTTAGAGGTTTAGTGGATGTTTGCAAGCATTGTATAGCAGAATTGAAATATTACAGTGGTAACAACACCTGATGTACTGCCAGGAGGGAAAAGGCCACGCTCCTGAACAAATGAGCCTTCAAAAAGGTCCTGGTGTTGCCAGACTTCTTCAACATCATGGAGTGGGGACAGGGGGATGCATGCTGCATCTTTTCACACAAAGCTTTAGATTTAGCTATTTCACTCGTACTCTAATAATGACAAGCAGCTGGGAAGTTTTCCTTCATGCTTTGCCTTGCAGTCTGTAAATGAAGAAGCAAAGCAAGCCCGGTAGCTGATACATCTGGGGCTGTGCTGACTCATCCAAGCTGAGGCTGTGGCCCCAGCAGTAGCACTTAGAGTTACTTATTTCCCTTTGCTGCTTGTCCTGCCCATCCCTTAAAGGTTGCAGATATTTGTAGGAGAGGCAGGGAAAGGAGGGATAGCTCTGCACACCGGCTATCACAGTTCACAGGAGGGCAACCACACCTCCAAATACAGCTCCCTGATGAGTTCACAGGGAGAAGCTGGGCTGTGATCTGTCACTGCTGAAATATGAGCACAGCTTGTTGCAGGGATGATAAGGTAACCTGGGCAGAGGGGGACAAGAATACAACTATGTATTCCACAAGCCATGAGATACTGACATTAGCTGCATATCTATCAGTGGCAGGGCACCTAGATCATAACAAACTCAAACTTTCAGATGATTTCACAAAGGCAATGACAGTGTGGCATACAAGAAATCTTCCTATTGGTGCAGCAATGCTGCCCAAAGCCACGTGTTGTAAATATTTAGGAGCAGTAACAGCGTTTCTCCCACTCGCCTGGGATTCCTCTCCTGCGTCAGGTTCTGTTTGTTTGGAGACCCTATACATTTTATGTTAAAAGAGAAAGACTTTTCCTCAGAGGGAGGTCATGACTTTGATCAAGGGAATGTAGAACAATGTTCAAGTGACGCAATTGGATTCTTGTGTAAGGTTTGGAAGTCGCTAACTGAAGACTATTTTGGAGTCTTGACTGGCCAGTATCTCTGACATGTTTGGAAGCCTTCCAAGGAGGTATTTTTGTAAGCCACTGGGATAAGGCAGTCAATTAAGGGTAATTTAATACTGCTAGGCAGTCACTATAAGTCAGCACATCTGTGGATATTGCTAAACTGACCATAGCAAAAACAGGACGTTCATACATGTTCCCCCAGCGCAGAAGAGTTTCCCCTTCACACTCTCAAAGTTTAAGAGAAAGTTTCTGAAGACATGATGGCAACTCAGTTTTGTGATACCTCACTTTTTCTTTTCTCCTCTTGAGAAACCAGAGCAGACTTGAATGGGAATATTACTATTCCAGTCCTCAAAGGAAGCCCTGGCACATCACTTTGCCTCACAAGAATATATATTCACTGTGGAAAGACTGAAATATTAATGAGACTGGAAAGGAAGGGTCTGCGTGCTAATGCAGCTGTGCTCAGGCAGCTCTGCGTCACTCTGGTATATAGGCTTTTGTTTATTCCATCAGTTTCTGTTGAACAACCTGTGCAATCTTGAAAAATGCTTTTTAGAATTGATATTTCTTTATAAATTTAAGCACATATAGTCATATATACTGTAGAATATGTGCAGAGGAGAGAAATATGTGCAGTTTTTTGCATTTTAATTTTTTTTAATACCATACTTATGTTAGTTTCTTCAATCTCAGTCCAAGGAGTTTAAGTCAGAGGGTTACTGCAGAGAGAGAACACCAAATAAGGGCAGGATAAAACTCTTTACTGGTAGAGAGCAAAGCTGTTTTACTCCAGTGAGGATTTCAAGACTTTTATATGCATGACCTTTAAATGAAAGTGCTGGACTAACAACATGGAGCTGAGAGGGGAATTCTGTTCTCAGTGGTGTCTGGGGGGAGTGTATTTGTGTCAGAACAGTCCTTGATGCTGCTTCTCCACTGCAGCCAGTGTTGTCCCAAATATGGGTTCTATCCAGACTGCAAGAAAATAGATAGATAGATAGATAGATAGATAGATAGATAGATAGATAGATAGATAGATAGATAGATAGATAGATTTATTCCCTGTCTGCTCAGACATGGGTGCTGGGTGGTAAGTTCACCCTCTCTGCATGCCAAATACCCAATTTTACAACCTTCAAACTGACAGATCAACACCTCTCCTGTAGGAAACAATCTAAAACTACATTCATTGGTTAAATGTTTACTCACCTTCATTTAAAGACACAGTACACCTTGATTTTACCATGTGCTGTCTATGGGGTTATGTGAGTAGTGGTCGGTGAAAGATAACCCTATCAGCTTTTACCACACAATCCCCCAGAGGAAGGCCTGGAGGTACCTGGTGCGTGGCTACATGGCCTGTGAGCCTATTTGGATCCCTACAGAGGGATTTTCCAGGTTTGGAGCTCTACACAGAGGTATTATACAGACTTAGACATATATGAGTTGTGATCTCATGGGATAATTTCAAGAAGTCTAAATAAGGAATTACAACTTCTGATCTGTAGAAGTTTATGTTCAATTTGACTTAAAGATCAACAAACTTGCCCATGTCAGTTACACAGCCCACAGACCCCAAGAAATGCAGGGAAGAAGATGAAAACCTGTGATTTACAGCACGACTGGGACTGTGGCCATGACCTGAATTTTTTCTAACAAAGAATCTCATTTTTTTTTCATCCTGGTTTATTTATATGTGCTTAGTCTGTAAAACACAGAAAATAAACCTATTGGTTTTCCACCTTGCATTCAGTGCTTCTGGAGTTCTGCTAGGACACTTGTTTTGGACTCTTGTAGTAGATAAATTTGGTGTCATTCCTGCAGCATTAACATGTGAAGCTGACGTGGCTTCCTGTTCTTTTGACAACATCACTGATCAGCAGCTGACACTCTAGCACTTTCTGTTTTTTCCCCTCTTGGTACACTAACAAACAATCCTCATCATGCTCTTAGACATCTTCATTGTTATCTTCATGGTCTAGAAGGAGCAGCATGGAGTGGACGCACTTTTTCAAGGCAGCAGCAATAAAAAGACATTTTATCAGTGCTAAAGCAAGACCAGTGAAATGTAGGCTTCTCTCCCATGTTGAAGTGGCTCTGTGCTAGTAGGGCAGCAAAATGCATCCTTCACTTCTGACACAATTGTAAAACACAGTAAGTCCTATCACATTTCTTTCTGCCTTGCATGAGTTCTGTTTTTTACCGTGGGAGAACCAGTAGCGCAGCATCTGCAACCAACCTGCTATTTCAACCTGCAAGATCTCCAAGGGAACTGTGGGATTTGGTACAGTCCTGCTGTCCCAGACACCTAATACCCATTGCCTGAACTAGACTGTAGTTCCACTCCTGGATTTCATTTTGAGTGAGATTCTCTACTTTTACCCTCACTGGTTTAAAATCTTACCTTGCCTCTTAGAATTGCTATTAGAGGTTTAAGTACATAAAAGTGATACTGAGAATGCATCTAAGCAGACAACTGCTTTACACACAATGAAAACATGGCCAAAGAAAAAATCAGATTTTTCACTGTCTAATGAGGAAAAAAAAAGAAGGGAATAACTAGGAAAAAAATACATGGGATAGAGTTAGGCATTACATCTTAGAATCACAGTATTATAGAAGTGTTTTGGGTGGAAGAGACCCTAAAGACCATCTCGTTCCACCCCCTACCATGGGCAGGCACACCTTCCACTAGACCATGTCGCTCCAAGCCCTGTCCAACCTGGCCTTGGACACTTCCAGGGATGGGGCAGCCACAGCTTCTCTGGGCAACCTGCGCCAGGGCCTCACCACACTCACAGGGAAGGATCAACCCTCTTTCAGCTTAAAGACATTCCATCTTGTCCTATCACTGCTTGTCCTTGTAAAAAGTCCTTCTCAAGCTTTCCCTGCAAGACTCCTTTAGGCACTGGAAGGGGCTCTAAGGTCTCCCTGGAGCCTTGTCCAGGTGCAACAGCCCCAGGTCTCCCAGCCTGTCTCCAGAGCAGAGGTGCTCCAGCTCTCTGGGCCTCTTTGTGGCCTCCTGCTGGAGGCAGCTC